AAACATGTCCCATGTATCTTGGAAATTGATTTGCATGGCTTGCTGCCATTTTCACCCCTTCTTTATCACTCCTCTCCGTTAGGTCTTCACTGCTATCACCTCAATCCATGTTCCATGGGTCAAGGAAGCGTCTGCAGAATAGAAGTCGCAGTGTCACATGTACTCCACGGAGAATACGGCTTCCCTACTGCAATCGCTAGAGGTGAGAGTCGATATATGAGTGGAGGCGAGGTCAATTTAAAGGAGATGAGATGGGACGGGTTTCCCTTTAGACATACAGGTAGTGCGAATTAATTGAGTGCCTTGAGCTACAACCCACAGAGTACTTGTGCAGTGGTGAGAAGACGCAAACTCTGCTTACAACGAGCCTTCTGCATTACCTTCTACTTGCTGCACTGCCATTTAATGGCACAGCCTGCAACTTGTCCTCCTCCACTGAAAAATACTGTCATCTAGCTATTGAGTACACCTCATAGACCGTGATAAGACCACTTATATCATTCTGCGATAGACGCAACTCTCTTCATCAAGATATGAGTTAATATCGGTCAGCCTACTTTCAGAAGAACCAACACCTACTAACTATAAATGGGCAAATACAACTTTCGCTTCAGCTGTTTACAGCAAATCTTTTGACAAGAAGTCGTAAGCTATACTAGGACATTCATTCACTTGCAAATGTACCAGGAACTAGGACTAACAAAGAATGATGCGAAAAAAACGCTAAAGAATATGAGGCAAGAGACATCATGGAGCCGTAGGTAAAGAGCTGAGGGCAAGTACAATACGTCAGGCAGCAAGTGCCTACATTAGGGTACAAACAAAAGTAAAGTTAAAAGGGAAGAAATTAATTTTAGCCATGCAAATTTGTCCAGAGTGACAATATTCTGCGAAAAAAGTGAAATTAGTGAATAAGACGGCAAGTGTAGGCGAAACATAACAGTTGCACTACCTCCTGTGAAATGCGAGTTAACGTAGCTGGAGGTGAGCGCAAAGGCGCGCAGCGAAGGCGACTACTGCCCTACGGACGCATTAATCGCCGCTGATTTTGCTCCTTCGATACGCCTTCATGACCACATAATCACTGCTGTGTCTACTGTTCTGCTATCTTCTGCGTCACCTGAGTACTTCTTCACCGTATTCACTAGATGCCTACCGCTTGCCGTTGCCATTTTGTCTAATTTTTCTGAGTAAGCCATTTCCCCTTTTACCTTGACACGTCTTCATACATCCGCACATGCCTATTCTGCTATTCCCAACATGCATGCAACACTATCCAAAATACACTTCTCGTTGTCTATGGTCTGCTCCCAGCTCTGCGTCGGTTTGTGAATGAAGGCGACCACATTGCCAACGTGTACGAATGAGCAAGCCTAGATACAGCGCACGTGGACAGTACCAGTAGCCAGGGGCCGACTGACTGACTGACCACTGACTGAATCACCAAATGGCAGAGGCTACACCGAGTGCTAGGATATTGCATTTTGTTTATCTATAGTGTTGACTTACCTTGGCCTACGAGAGGTTATCTGTTCAATTTCAGCATTCGCAGCTTCAAGTTGGTTAAAGAAGAGAAACTCCTACTACCTACAACTCTCAAATATATTCATTTAAATTAAGACTTCTAGGAAATTGCAGGATTTGATACTAGAAAGCTAAGAATCCAAAAATCATGGAAATTGAAAATTGGTACAAAAGAGTTTGATGGATAACTCAGATATTTCTAGCAAATAAGCTTTTTCCTCAATATATTTATT